TTAGGCAAAACAATTCCATCAACAAAAAATCTTGTTAAAAGCATTAAAAATTCGGGAGCCATAATGACATGGCACCTAAGGGGTGATTGTCTTCCAAAAATACTTCATCCGGTATTCTGTGGAATTTCGTCCAGATTTGAACACAATCTTCGTGTTGACAAACTGTTAACAATGTGAACTCCTTCCTAATTAGAACTTACAGAAAATGTAATTAATTATTTTGAAAAAAGTAAAATTAATTGAATGAGACCCTTTCACCTTTTTAACACTATCTTCTAATTATTTGACATTCCTTTCTTTAATTATTCAGGTTTTACTTTCAAAATCAATTTTATATATTGCTTCATTTACTTAATTAGACTGGAATTAATTCATTATTTATAATTCTATTTGAGATGGGCATGATAATAAACACGATTGTATTAATTGTCTGATTTCAGATAGCCCGAAAGCTACAAATGTGCGTATCATTATATATATTTTATAAATATCACAGTACATGTCTTTAGAAAAATACACGTGAAGATTGTCTTCAAAGGAGGCATATACCATGAAACATTTTCATGTATGGCTGAATCTTGTAGCACGCTTCCTGTGGTAGTTTGTTCGTCGTCGCTGCCACTGGAGGAACAACAAATTCATATGGAAGGGATGTTGATAACATTACATCAACTGCATGTCATTGGTCGAAATATTAATAAGTTTTGGGATGGCTTTCAAAAACCTGTTGTTATCGACATAATTGTATCTTCTAAGTCTGATATTCAGAAAAATCAATTATAAATGTGGGCAACAACAGTCGAAATAATCAGATCCTAGCTATTGAAGTTATGTTGTCATTTATTATAATCTAATTCAAACTCATTGCATCATGTTGCTATTATTTAAATATATTTTCATACTTCACAATTCTCTTACGCATTAACGTGCATTCAAAATTTAAGACATGAAAAAGAATATTTTTTTAGTTCGCAACCCCTATATCTAAACCTATTTACGCCTGACTAATGTTGTCGTTGGTTGAGCACGTCAATACTAATTTTTATGACAGTATTAACCTTATCACAAATTAGCGTCGAGTGAAAAAATATAATATTGACATGTATGGCACAATATATCACACAGTTTATTAATTTCAAACTAATTTGTCTTTAAAAACATTGAAGCCTTTAGAAACAGTAATGTGAAAGTCGCATGTTAGCGCGTAATCGACGATAAAATACCACAAATTATTTTTGAACTAAGCATGTTAATTTCTGAGCCAACTTCCGTGAACAGGAAGTCAGAGAATAACATTTACATTATACGTTCTGATTGGCTTCTTATACCATCTAAAATGACTTCCGGTCTTGAGCTTTAACGGAAGTATTAACTAGCAGGAAATAACAACACTATACAGTTGGCTGGGTTACGACAATTAAAAGGAACTAAGCTCTCGAGTGGCAGATGTTTTATTCTTAGAACATTTATTTTATAGAATCAATATAATCAGAGGAACCAATTCCGGAAGCGGGTTTTTTTTTGAGGTAAATGCCGTGTTATGTAGTATTCAAAATAAGTATACGCATCTTAGAATGAGTCAAAACAAAGAGAGTAAATGTCAATAATTTTGTCTGTTATCAATCTATGAAATCTATGTGAAATTTTTTTATAACTCATTTTATCTTATTGGTAAACCGTAAAATCTCATCTAAACTGAATTGTGAGATTTTTTAATGATTACAGAACAGATTAAGAAGTCTAGGTTTAGAGACTTCCGGTTTATTATATTTATTCAGATTGGCCTATTTCACTTGATGATTTTTGTGATTTACATTGATCTTGTCGTTTAAAAAGTTGCTTAAAGCTACACGTATTTTAGCTGTTGAATTGTAGGGGAACTGGAAGTAAGCTTTTACTTCTGAAAGATGGCAAGTTCAGCTCTATCTTCTGCTTAAACGAATACACCCCATTCTCCAATTAATGAAATAAAACATTTATTAACAATTTCTTTATAACAAAAAACATGACATTGCCGTCTTCTTATCCATGTTATTCCAAATCGAAATTGGCTGAAAGCCATTTGACAGAAATGTACCTTTCAACATACAATTTCTTGTAAGAACTGTTGACGCCAACATGAATTTGAACAAACATGATATAACGATATTTAAACTGGTGATAAAACACATAAAGATATATATTATTGTATAACAGATATCTAAGATTAAATTGAATATATTGATGATATACGGAAACACAGAATAGCTTTTAGACTAACTGATGTAATGATAAAATACATATTATCAAATTTTATAATAGTGCTCTAAGGTCGGCTCTCAGTTTACTGTTAAATCAAATTCGGACAATATCAATAATGCTAATCTTCATTTTGATTTTGAAATATTCACAGTTACAGTTTCTATCAAATTTTGACAGTAAATAGACATATAAATAGAAACAGTTAACGCTGACAGAAACTAGCTATATATAATATACCCCTTACTGTACCTAGTCACTGTTTTCGTTGACACCTTAACCTCTGACTGTACATACTCACTGTTTCTATTGACAACGATACCCTTGACTGTACCTAGTTACTGTTTTCATTAAAACATCTGCCACTCGAGAGCTTAGTTCCTTTTAATTGTCGTAACCCAGCCAACTGTATAGTGTTGTTATTTCCTGCTAGTTAATACTTCCGTTAAAGCTCAAGACCGGAAGTCATTTTAGATGGTAGATGATAGAAGCCAATCAGAACGTATAATGTAAATGTTATTCTCTGACTTCCTGTTCACGGAAGTTGGCTCAGAAATTAACATGCTTAGTTCAAAAATAATTTGTGGTATTTTATCGTCGATTACGCGCTAACATGCGACTTTCACATTACTGTTTCTAAAGGCTTCAATGTCTATTGACAACTATACCCTTGACTGTACCTAGTTACTGTTTTCATTGACACCTTAACTTCTGACTGTACTTAGTCACTGTTTCCATTGACACCTTAACTTCTGACTGCACATAGTTACTGTTTCTATTGACAACTATACTCTTGACTGTACCTAGTTACTGTTTTCATTGACACCTTAGCTTCTGACTGTACATAGTTACTGTTTCTATTGACAACTATACCCTTGACTGTACTTAGTCACTGTTTTCATTGACATCTTAACCTCTGACTGTACATAGTTACTGTTTCTATTGACAACTATACCCTTGACTGTACCTAGTCACTGTTTTCATTGACACCTTAACTTCTGACTGCACATAGTTACTGTTTCTATTGGCAACTATACCCTTGACTGTACCTAGTCACTGTTTTCATTGACACCTTAACTTCTGACTGCACATAGTTACTGTTTCTATTGACAACTATACCCTTGACTGTACCTAGTCACTGTTTTCATTGACATCTTAACCTCTGACTGTACATAGTCACTGTTTCTATTGACAACGATACCCTTGACTGTAGATTGACACCTTAACCTCTGACTGTTCCAGCTCCAGTTTTCAATGTATAACTACTCTTTGAAATGTGTTAGTGTTTTTATTGTGGAATATCGTAACCCTACTCGTTTATTTAGTAAGTTTTGTGATGTAAGAAGAGGTTGATACTAATATATTACTTTCAGAGTTTATTTACTTCTTCTCAAATTCTCAAGTGGCACGAAATCATTAAAAATCTTGTCGAATGGAAGATAGGTTTGGCAGGTGTAGATTGTGATATTATTAGTTATATCATAAGATCAACTTATCAACTAGAATACGTTCATTTCAACAAAAAACCCAACAAACAGCCTCTGAATAAATAGAAATTTGTTGAGATATGAAGCGTCAGAAATTTTGTTTCTAATTTAAACATGTTTTGTAAGTGTTCTTGCAGGGTAGTAAAATTGGGTGTAAATTGTAGACAAACGCCATTTACATTTGCAACAGCGTCTTCATTACGGCTTTACTGCGACCCTTGGGTTTCTGAAACGACTCTTCTACGCTTTCGGGGGGTAGTGGCGGTTTCAGAACTAAGGACTCATCCCAATCCAGAGAGATCTGCTATAGATAAACTACCGTTCCATATATAAGTTTTTTTTTCACGTTAGTCGGCAACCTTGTCTATTTTCTAGTCGCAGCATGATCGCAAAGGGTCGCAGTCCCGTTTGACTGGGGCCCTGGTATGAACGAAATATATAACTAGTTACATCGTTACATTCACGTTAAGTAAACTTCCCTGATGATAAAGTTAGTGAGTTATTTATTTTTTTAAACTTTGAAAATATTATCTTAGTTGTGGTATCTTGTTTCCGTCTAATTTAAGAACTGTTTCTAAATTTGATTGAGTATTCCAATTATACAACTCACAGAAAACTAACTGATAACAACTCAGTAGTTAATGGTTCATTTTCTGAAAAGTTTGAGGAATAGCTCAGTGGTATTTTTTAAACACTGTATTATTGTGAAGTTAGTTGGTGAATGCTTTGATGGGATTGTAAGGATGCCGTATGACACATAATGATGTTTTGCTACAGACAAACTACAGAAACTCTTTCAATCGATGACTAATTACATCATTTCTATACTGTTATTTACTACTTTTCTAAATAACACCCTCTTTACTTACTTAAGAGGGCGTTACGAGTGATATTGTTCATGTTTTGACGCGGCAACCCAAGAATCACCTTCTCCATGAGACTTCTATAGACGCCGTGCCAAACGGAAACATTGTCACGTGATAATCAATAACGGTTCGTCAAGTCATATCATAGACTTCGATACTCTCTCGTTATGTGGAGTTAAATACTACTTTACGCTCCTTATATGGCACAGAGTGGAACAAACGACGGATAGGGTACAGGTTAAGCTGTCGGTAAAACATGAAAGGGATTACCGACAGCACATCAAAGGGATTAGCGGTATAAATGAAAGAAAGTAGATAATGATTTAATTGACAGGTGTCAAAGGTAAGAAGTTGTTGAAATATTTTCTTCATGACGGAAACAGATTTAGACATGGAGGTGGTGGCAGCCAAAATCATCGCACTGCTACTTATAACAACTTTTTCAGTTTTATGCGGACTTTGCCCACTTCGTTTAATGAAAAACTTACCAAAAATCTTAACAAGACATAAGGAAACTGTGGAATTTGTGCTGTGTGGTTTGCGGTGTTTTTCTGGTGGAATATTTCTGGCCACGTGTTTCTTACATCTAGTACCTGACACAACTTCTAAAGTTGAAGCAGTTTTAAAAAACATGGGATCAAGATCTAAATTTCACGTGGCAGAATTGTTAGTGATGGCTGGATTTTATGCTGTAGTGTTTGTGGAACAAATTATCAAAATTTTATATCTTAGAGCATTAACTCACGAACAAACGTCAAAAGAAAATAAGTATGAAAAACAAAATGGAAATTTAGCAGTAAGTGAGGACCATATAAATATAAACCCAATGCGCCTTTCAGACAATTTTGACGGACTTAGTTTAAATTCTTTACCGTTACCAAATCATATTGAAAATATGCAGGATGAAATTGATAAAATCGAAGTGATACCAGACACTTTAGACATGGAGATTGAGTCAACACCTCTTCAGGAATTGGAGGTAAAAAATGTAGTTAGTGAACTAAGTAAGGGTGATGTTAGTAATGGTGGACATTACCGTTCTATTATTTACTTAATGGCGCTGTCTTTTCATGGAATATTTGAAGGGATGACATTAGGATTACAAAGTGGGGAAAATAATGTGTGGGGTTTGTGTTTTGCCATTAGTGTTCACAGGTGTGTTCTAGCGTTCAAATTAGGCATGGATTTATGTACTACTGACGAAAAACAAGGGACGTCATTTCTGTGTATTGGAACCTTTGCTGTGATTTCTGCACTAGGTATTGTGATAGGAACTATAATATCATCAGGAGCGATGCTATATGACGATGTGACGGTACCGGATGCTATTCTACAAAGTTTAGCTACCGGAACTATTATCTATATTATATTTTTTGATATTTTATTTAAAGACTTAGAAGGCTATGGTGATTTAAAACGGCTTTCGTGTTCTTTCGTAGGCTTTACTCTTATGGCGATTATATACGCTGTAACTCAAAGCTGATAGTTGCTTCTTGACCAAAGGATGGCTGACCAAGGATTACTTTTGAAAGTGAAAGTATTGTAAGAATGTATCTTTAAGCGTGTAAAATAGAAACAGAACAAATTTAATCTTTTTCTACAAGTTGTTAGACATGGTGTTTTGAGATTTTGGTATCTAATCAATCTACGTACACAGGAAATTAATGTATGGGTGATATCTTAAGTATTTTTTTCTGTTTCTGGCATTTTAACAAACAGAAGAAAGAAAGTCTATACTGGTATTATATAATTGGTATATTTAGCCGAACATTTTCGCTAACTTTTGATTTTAAAGTAGGACAAAAACTTATATTACTTCTGAATATAATCCCAAGTACCTTTGTCTGTGCAAATTCGATAACACTTTAAAAACCAAACAAGAAGTTAAAAGTTCTTGCTATTTTTCATTCCAACTTACGTTAGTGATAAATGGAATTTTATCATGTATTACTAACGAGAAACACTTAAACGTGTTTTCAAACAAAGATTTCAATATAATGAGAATGTTTTAACAAATTCTGTTGAAATTTTCTAATTTACACCCACCGAAATATTTTCATTATTTTTGTCTGATAGTGCTAATTAAGTTATCACCTTTTATGTATGACGTAAGTAGGTAATGTTTACATGTATTTAACGCTTCTCAGGTCATTTGCCATGTTATAACATTTATTCTGATCATCCATTTGAAACGTTTATCTTTATAAACGGTCTGATACATCGAATGTATTGTAACATCTGTCATCAATGCACCAATGACTTCAAATGAAATAAAGATGAAGTTTTAGTCACACTTTTCTTCTTCTTCTGATGCAAGTACATCTATACTCTTTTGCAGTTTTCTTCTCTCGAGGAATCTTAAGCTGTGGTAGCATGGACCTCCGTTTTGCCCAAACAAACAAGAAGGCGCCTTTTTCATGTTAACCTCTCCATTATTACTCACAGTCGAAGTATAGTTTTTTAAAGGTATACTACCTCTGAGGATGAACACAAATAACTTAGTTTAATGGAAATTACGTGATGTATACAGATTTTGAGACATTATATTTAATGTCCATTCTAAGAGGTAGCATTCCTTTAAGGAGATTTTGTTGGTATCGTTCCCACTTCTAAAATCACTAATCCAATTCAAAGAGAAACATGATCGAATAAGCTTATGAGTTTTCAGCTAAATGAAACCTGACTAGCTAATATTTCAGATAATGTCAGATAAATCGAATTAACCTGTGGTCAATCAGGTCAGAGTCTCATGGGAAATTCTGGTTTGATTCTAGTCAATAAGAGAAATAATTAATATTACGAGAATCTCTCATAGTCTCCTAGACAATACTTCATTACAGTTTATTACAATTTCTTCTACTTTCATAGATATATTAAAGGAAATGTGGAACTTAATAAAGGTATGATTTTATTGACTGTTTATATATTTAATATTCATTATGCACATTTTCATTATCATAGAAGTATATTATACCTTTATAGTTAGTTTTATTTTGCATAGTAGACATATTTCTCTACAATTACGCGTTTATTTTGAAGAATAATTTTCATGAATTTGAGCATAATGCAACTTTAAAAATTTGTAACAGATTGAAATTGGTGCCGTTATAAATTCGAATCAAGAACTACATGCAGAACCTCCAGATGCATAATTCTTGACTGATTATGACGAAACTTAGTAAAATTGTTAATCATCATCCATTGTTGAACCCTATTAAAAAAATGGAAAATATTTTATATGAGTTATTGACCTATAGGTCTTGAAATCGTTTTCAATTTTTCGCTCGTAAACGCTGAAAGGCAAAACTTAACAAAACTTGGTAATATGTTCAGTATCACCCAAAAATGTTCCAAAAATGTTATTTAAAAAGAAAACTGCCAGTGGGCGTATATTACCTTTGAAAGTTTACAAGTCTTGACTCTAGTTTGAGATTGGTTGGAATCGAGGGTTTAGAATAATGATATAAAGGAGAATGACAAGTCCATGTCGAATACAATACATTAGTTTGGAATCTGTGATGAGATTGTAAAGAAATTCATTAACATGTTTCTTTAGATTCTCCTTATAAACACTGACCTTAAAGTTAGTGACAATACTGTACCTGGTACTTGTTTTCTAAAGGTTTAAAAGAAACTTTACATTGTATATGTATTCCAACTTCACATTGAGGTTTGTACATTTCAATATCTGGGAGTGTAAAATGTCATGATAAATGGTATATTATGATAATGGTATAAATTATCATCAATTGACCTAGTTTATACTGCAATATTTATATTATATTTAACCTTGCGTAAGAAGATATCGGTGTTCCAGAAAATGCCTGAAGGTTGGGGGGATTCTGAAATTCATGATGTGACCATTGCTCCTTTGACAAATAGAATTTTAAAAAGAGTACCTACAGTATCCTGGAACATTTTGCACATGGCATTGTATAATTATATAACATTCAGAAATTTAAGGATAATAAAGAAAAGGTCAGGAAGAAAAATATTAATTATTAATCAAGGTAATTAGTATATTTTTAGACTATCAATTCTAATCATTAGACATCCTTATATTATTTACATTCAATCAATATATTGTCTAGTAGTTACCAGGTTTTGTCATGGATTGGAGAGGCTCTGATTCGAAATACATGTTATACTTTTAGAAATCCCGTTGCTTAATTAGCCGAATTTCAACTGTCGATAAAACTTTTCAGAATTGTAATTCGATGTTTGTTTTCTGATGGTACGGGGACCATCATTGTTCGACAATTTTTGTCGCCGACAAGTAGAGACTTGTCGGCACTTTCACGGACTTGCTGCGGGCACACGAGGAGACAAAAAATCTCCATTCGGTCGTTTTCCACTATGTCGATAATCTCGTGCTGATCATGCAGTTAAAAGGTAAATGAATTTGGTCCGAGTCGGCGACAAAAATCGGTGACTAAGACTGTTCGTGTGCCCTCACCCTTAGAGTAATTACCATCATTTAGTGGCGGAGCCAAAAGGGGGGGGGGGGGGGGGGGGGGGGGTGCATTCAGATTTTCTTTATTTTTGTTGTAAAATATTGTTGTTTCTTACTTCATTCTATCTTAAAATCAGTTTTGTTTTACGCCATAAACTATATAGTGCGGACCTATGAGAGAGCATTATTAATCTTACCGCCACAGATGTAATTTACTGAGTAATAGTAAAACGGCATTTGCTTTAAATTCCACAGAAATGACAGATAAAGAGACATATTAAGAAAATACACCATCATTTGGAACGCTTTGCAATGAATTTGTTTTCTATGGAGGTATAGCGTTGCCAAATGGTCGATTGTGTTGCAGCTTTAAAATGCATTTGTCAATGCTACAAAGTACAATTGTCGATTTGTAAAATGCAAAATGTATGTTATTCTCCAAAATCCAATGAAATGCCACACGAATGCAGATAACATTTAACACTTTGCATTATACACTTTGATGACGTATTCATACATACGTATTTTTACAAATCGACAATACATTTGTACTTTGCAGCATTGACAAATGAATTTTGTAATGATGAAATTGGTATTTTAAATCAATCGACAATTTTGGCAACATTATACCTTCATAGCTTTCAAAATATCAAGTATGTATTATAATCCGAAATCTCGATTTTAAATCAAAATGAACGGGGAAAACTCAAAATAGTTTTCTCTGTTATATAGTTCATTACATAGTGATCTAGTTTTCTCTGTTATATAGTTCAGTATATAGTGATCTAGTTTTCTCTGTTATATAGTTCATTATACAGTGATCTAGTTTTCTCTGTTATATAGTTCATTATATAGTGATCTAGTTTTCTCTGGTATATAGTTCAGTATATAGTGATCTAGTTTTCTCTGTTGTATAGTTCATTATATAGTGATCTAGTTTTCTCTGTTGTATAGTTCAGTATAAACAGAGAAATTATCTCAAATTTGCGAGAATACTCTTACGGAATAATTTATTTCAATTTTATCACTTATATCTAACTTATTTGATGTAGAAAGAAATTTATCAGCCTAGTCTTATCGTCCATCACGGTAATTGAATTAAAATTGTCTGAAAATCTCTAAATGTATGTTTAGTAAGTTTAAGTATATTTCAAAATTGTACACTTGATTCTAATTTTTAGTCCTTAACTCTTCAGCTGAAGTACCCCACCAGCCTGAACTTCATAGTAAATAATATCTAGTCAAAAGTGAATATCCAATCAAATCGCTGCATTTACAAACCTTCGTAACTATGGCGATCAAGCTATTAGACGCAGTTCGTAATTTTACTTTAACAGAGAGAGTAAAAAAGGGAGAAATGGGGTAGGTGAAGTGTTTATGTATTAACACACTGTAGTACATTTAATTCTGTTCCAATTAGAACATGTATATAATTGTCTATACCAAATAGTCTCTATATGCAAATGAATACCAATATATCAGATATAAACAGAGCCATATTTAGATTTAATTCAACCAACCATATTTAATATATTAATATTATTTTTCAATAGATCAATAGATCCCAACCTGATAATTTGTATTTATTACAGACCTATCATTATCTATATTTCTACAAGCTAAATAATAACCTTCTGTAGATATTCATTAAATTCCCAGCAACAAACTCATTATGTTTTCACAGCTTAAAATAAAAGATGTGATAACCACCGTTATTTTACATATTTCATCAAAATGAATGTCTGTGTAAAACAAAAGATTAAACATAAGTATATTTATTCAAATTATTACAATATTTCAATCTGACACTAAAGATTGTAATATTGTAATCAAGATTTAAATATATTACCCACAATGAGCTCAGAACTGATTTTCAGTCATTTTGCAAATATTCCAAAAAAGAAACCAAAAAAAAAAAATCGATTGCAGTA